GAATGTGTACATATGGGACATGGATGAGACACTAATTTTGCTCAAGTCACTTCTGGATGGCTCATATGCTGGGGCTTTTGACGGCCTCAAGGATCGTGAGAAAAGTACTGAAATAGGGAAGCGATGGGAGAACCTCATTCTTGAACTTTGTGATGAGCACTTCTTTTATGAGGAGGTCAGTTAGCACCAAAACTCGGTACTACCATACAAGCCAAGTACCTATTACATAATGAACAAATGATATGCCATTTATATTTTCCAGAACTACATACCAAAATTGTACACAAATTTGTTAGGATTATCCCTTTGAAAGCTACTTTCATTTTTTCCTGTACATGAAATTTTCCATGACATTGTACTTCACATCATTCATCTAGCTTGCCTGCTCAGTTACTGCCTATTGTTTCCTTCACTGTTCTGCATAAGTCATTTAGCTGCTTATTTTTTGGACATGCTGTTTCTCTTTTTTATGCTCATCTCTTTATTTTTTTTCAACTGATCTGGTCATTTTCACACTAATGCAGATTGAGAACTACAATGAACCCTATCTCAATGCTTTGAATGAATATGATGATGGGAGAGACTTGACCTCATATGATTTTGAGGCTGACTGTTTTAGTTCACCCTATGATGATGCGAACAAAAAGAAGCTTGCTTACAGGCATCGTGCTATTGGAGAGAAATATGCAAAGGTATCAGTTTGTCGCAAGAATTACCCTATCTCGCAATATTTTCTTTAAAGGGTTTCCTTCATGAGATGATTCAACTTGGTATCTGTTTTTCTCTTTATGGTGTCCATGTTATTGCATTTCTGCTTGATATGGAAAGTTACATGACAACCTTGCAACAGGAACTCTATGAATGTATTCAAGAGCAAACCTTGTAAATATATAGCGGGATGCAGTGCTCAGATCACTCTTGTAGTGAACTACTGTAACTCTCTTTTCATTTCTTGAGAATGAAATGTACATCCTATTTAATTAGATGTGTGTCTATGGTAAGAAGAGTCCGTGTTTTCTGTGTAATATATATGCACTTGTGTGTATACTTATGAGTTGCTACACTGTGCCAAATGGGTTTCGAGTATAATCTTATAAGCTGGAAGCCTTGAAATATGTCAAAAAAAAGTCTGCCATCTTGTAGATTACAGTATTAAGGACAGCTGAACTTCCTAGCTTGATCTCCTAAACATATGAAGGTCCCCTTCCACAAAATTCACTGGGCAGCATGCATTGCTGAAAGGCCCTTCTATGAGGATAGTTTTTTTTTGAAAAAAAATAGTTTAGTAATGATAAGTAATCGGATCCAAAAAATTCAGTTCTGAAAATATTTTCAGAGCAACATTATCATCGGATAAGAACCTTTCTGTTGCTTTTGTATTATTCTTATGTCATTCTATTGCTTTTGTACTTTTATCAATGGGATGTCTGTGATTGCTAAATTGGGCTGTTTTTGTGCTTCCAGGGTTTGGAAAAGATTCTGGACCAACACATGGTCAAAGTCTGCAATGATCAGTACAGTTTGACTGACAAATATACTGATGGCTGGCTGTCTTCAGGTATTCTCATTTGAACTAGTTTTTTTTATAATTATTTTTATTTATTCTTGATGTTGACAATAGGCATATTTCTTATTTCATCTCCAAAATGATGTGCCTCTGATTTTCTAATTAGAGTTAGTGGAGAAAAGTATTAGGTCTTTCAGTTTTGTTGATGAAACCAAATATGAGCTAGTATCATCTAAGCTATAAGATCTTACAACTGTGGACAATCTTCCAGAACTTAATATTACATAATAATATAGTATGAATATAGACCTCATCTGTTTTACAATATGTGTCCAGCTTACTGGAGATTGTTGCTTCTAGCGAACTGAAGAATTGATCCATTGTTTTTTCCCCATTAGTCTGTACACATGAAGTACTTGGATTGCTATGGAGGGTTCATTGTGTTAGAGTTGAATTGATGCTTGACGATCAATCCAGCATATCTATTTCTTTATAATAGTGTAATCCTTGCATGCATGCTGTCTCCTGTTACCTTGCTCACAGCTTTCTCCCCTGCTGACACGCTTGTTAGCCCAATAGCCTTTTCCCCACCAATAAAAAGGGTGGTCTAAACACTGAACTGTAGATTTATGTTGGCTTGTGGTTGGGTTCATAAACTTACTGAAATTTGTGGACTAGTGTTTGCACTTAATTTAAATCTTATCTTTTTTATCATTAGATTCTTTAACATTATTCTCCTATCATGCAGCTCATAAGCTATTGGAAGAAGCATTGGGCAAATCATCATCAGCACCTACTGCCAACTCTTCAAGCATCAATTGCATAGTTACATCAGGGTCGCTGATTCCAAGCCTTGCCAAATGTTTGCTGTATCGCCTGGATGATGTAGTCTCGTCTGAGAATGGTATGCTAATGCCTCCAATTTTCCTTGAAGCACTTACTTTCTGTTGTATATGGCACTTTGCAAGCCATGAATCAGATCAGTGATATTGGCTTTCTCTGTTTGACAAAATGTTGTCCATGGCAACCAACATTACTAATCTATCTGCTAATTGCATTATTTGAATCAGACCATACATAAAGTCCATGAGGTTAGCTGTAAACAAATAGATGAAGTTGGCAATAACAGTTTGCTTGTGTTTTGCAGTTTACAGCTCATGGGAAGTGGGGAAGCTGCAGTGCTTCAAATGGATCAAGGAGCGCTTTGATGGTCCAAATGTCCGCTTCTGTGCAATCGGTGACGGGCACGAAGAGTGCAGTGCAGCACAGATCATGAAATGGCCATTCATCAAGATTGAGTTCCGCCCTGAAGCCCATCACAGGTTCCCTGGCCTAGACATGCCCACAGTGCAGGCCTACATGGATGTGATATACGAGTCATCAAGCAAAGATGGTTGACTAACAATTCATGTTGGTTCTGTTTTCTCCTCTGACCTCCAGAACCCATGGAGCCCTTGTTTGAGGAAACTGTAAGCAAAGAGATGTCGTGGGAAAGGAACATGTCGTCCTCCCACGATCTTTACCTTGGCGAATTAGGAGGCAGGCGTGATAAATAAGAGTCTTGCTAGTTCGTCCATGTTGTCATAGATCCTGTCTTGTGTTTCCATGTTCCTGTGATTCAGGCAATTGTGTGTTGTGTCCGGGCGTTATTTCCCGTTTTGTGCATTGCCAACTTGCCATTTTCAATTTCTGTGTATATGCTTCTTAGGTTTATAGGTGGATGCGACCGCTTGTTTAAACAGGAGGTGGTACATGCATTATTCTGGGAGGTTAGAACCATAAGTTAGGCTACTGTGTTGCGATGTTGTAGCCGTCTCCTGTCCAAATGTCATGATAGTACTCCATACATTTTTTTTTTGATATACATAGCTCATAGTTCACCAGCACAGGAGGCAGGCGGCAATGCCTATGCAGCTATGCTAGTTAGACCAGAGCTTGAGGTTATGAAATTTATGGGAAAAAAACAATTTAGTTTTGTTTAGCTAATATATAAATTGGTTATGTGTAGATAGGGCTGGACAAAATACTCGTGGCTCATCAACTGGCTTGACTCGTGGCTGGCTCGACTCGGCTCGTGGCTGGCTCGACTCGGTTCGTTTTAACTTTTTTCACAAGTTGAGCTGGAAGTCTAGCTCGCTATTTTAAGGAGCCATTTCGTGAGTTGTTCACGAGCTGAAAAGTATCAACCATGCAAACTTTTGATGAACCTGATATGTATTAATCATGTATAGTTGCATAATGGTGGACGTCACCTTCTGAAATTAATATAGCATAAACATTATAAACATATGTGTCCTATTTTTTTATAGCTCAACGAGCTAGCTTGAACTCGGTAACAAGCCGAGCCGAGCTACCCCTCTAGCTCGTAATATTAACGAGCCGAGCCGAGCTGGCTCGTTAGCCTAACGAGCTGGCAGGGTGCAATCCAGGTCTTCTTAAATTTCATTTCCGTTCGATTTAATAATAGACAGGAAAAAGAGGAAAACACTAAATAGTAGCTTCACCTGATCCTAGCTGTAAATCCATTATGCCCTGTTTGGTTAGTCTGGATTCCCCCACGAATTGTTCCAGACGATGAAAGCTTATACAAATTAAATAAACAATCTAGCCAGGAATTATTCCAGAGAGCAGATCCGTGATAACTGAACGAGCCCTTAGGGAATCACGACAGTCTACAAAACGATACTTTGACTAATATAAAAATACATCATTTCAAGTAGAAATGGTATATATGGTGGCAATATTTTACATGATGGTTCCGGTAGTAGTAGCATCAACATTTTTTATTTTTTAAGTACAATTTTTAATGCAAATTACAAAAAATATACCATGTCCTTGCTAAATATTGAAATTAACCTATTGTCGTTTTCTAAACGACTTTAAAAAGTTGTACTATTGGAAAACTATTTTAAATAAAATAGTTACCTGTGAAACGATTTTTCTCAAATTTTTTACCTACTAAAAATCAGTTGATTGCTCAGAAGTCATTTAGTAGAAGAACGACTTCCAATATCACTTTTAACTTAGAACGAGGTTTCTAAAATAAAGAAAAATCATTTAACATGTAGACAATTTTACTTATATTTTTTGCATTTTTTTACTCACCATTTCAAAGCTACAGTATTGTATAGTTATTGGGCTGAAAAATCACGTGCTCAAAACTGAGCCCACAACCACAACCCGAAAGCAGCAGGCAGCAGCAAGGCAACCACAGGCAGAGCGTTCTTCTTCCCCGACGGCCGGGGGCGACGGCTCGACTCCACTAGAACCCTCCGCGACGGAAACCCGCCTCCACCTCCCTTGAGCCCTTCCTCGTGGCTCGTGGAGTCGTGGGAGCCCTCTATCGGCGCGCAGCACAGGTACCAGCACTTGGAACTATTCTCTCTTTCTTCTTCCTTCCTTGAGCCGCACTGCTCCCCCGCCGCCCGCCGCCCACCGCCCACCGCCACCGCCCACCGCCCATCGCCCACCGACCCGCCCTCCCCTAATCCGAATGGGAGTCGTCCCCGCCGGCGGCGGCGCCGCCCACCACCGCCGTACGCCCACGTAATGCTTCCTCTTGTTCCTCTTTCTCTGTTTGATTCTGTGTGCGGCGGTTCTGTGATATTCCTCTCTTAAGATATATACGAGCCCTCCTTTATATATTTGGTTGCTTGGTACGGATTTCAGGGGCTGATTGGGTGACCAAACCCGCAAGGTTTTGGGGCTGTGATTTTGGAGCAGGAGGCGGCGGCAACATGGTAAGAACACTCATGGACTGTCCCCTCCTCAATTGACTAGTTTGAGACTGTTGCTCTCAGTCAAGAGGTTTAGATAGCTAGTGGAATCCTGTGGATGTGCCAAATGCAGATTTGTAATGATAAATTGACTGTCTCCTTTTGTGCTTCGGGCTAATGCAGATTTTTGATGTGGAGATGTTGTTTGCTGACTATCTGACTTTAACTTTAAGCATTAGTTCTTGGAGTTTATCCCCTATGTGATTGCCAGAGAAGACATGTGTCCAAAATTTCAACTTAATATCTGTAGTTGGTTCTTTGAAACTTCAATTTCTATTGCAGCCTTGCCCACTCCGTTTTTGTCGAGCTGGACATGGTAGCTTCGCACTCCTAATTTTGAACCTCTGGCTTAAAAGTGAAAAATACCCCTGCAGGAATATAAGGCGAGATCTACTGGGACTTCAGGAACTTCCACTAAAAGTTTCCGTGATCTGTACAATATGAAGTACTCAGGCTACTTAAACGACGAACCGATGCCGGATGCTACATCGGAAAAGGAGCAGGTTGGAATACCCAGGCCCATTTTGTTACAACTTCCTAGTCTGTTGCATAAACAAGCTTTGGTGAAGCTAGACCTGTTGTTTCCTGTGTTTTGGTTCCAGGGAAATGAGTATTTCAAACAGAAGAAGTTCGCTGATGCTATTGAGTGCTATTCCAGAAGTATTGGGCTGTCTCCTGCAGCAATCACATTTGCAAATAGAGCTATGGCGTATCTTAAACTAAGAAGGCAAGTTACTCTGAGACTGTATGCATTCAGTTCACCTTATGTCATTTCTTCATTTGTTCTGCTTTTAGTGGAAGTACCCCATCTCCATTGAATCTGAAACCATGTTTTGGTTGTCACCAGCTATTTGAGACTGTTGAATAAGGCATATTTTCTGTATTCTTGGTCTGCTATCGGTGCTATTTATGATATATTTTTACCTATCTACTGTGTCCTGTGGAACCTGGAAGTTATGTTTCCAAGACCTTTTTTTCTGGTGAAATCTTATATTATAGATATGGAATTCATCAGATTCAAGGAGGCAGAGGATGATTGCACTGAAGCTCTGAATCTGGATGATCGCTATATTAAAGCATACTCACGCCGAATTACTGCACGAAAAGAACTTGGGAAGCTTAAGGAGGCAATGGATGGTATTCCATGCTATAATCCTAAAGTCTTTATCTTCTTTTAATCTCTTTATTTTTTTACTTTCTGAATATTGATCCGTATTGTACACCAATTATGTGTATAGATGCTGAATTTTCCATCAGTCTTGATCCAAACAATCCAGAGCTAAGGAAGCAGTATTCTGAGATAAAAGCTTTGCACATGGAGGTGAAGAAACTCTACTTCATAATGTTTCAGCTTACATCTTAGTTTTTTAGCAATTTACTAATCTTTGGTTATACATTTCACTTTCACTCATTTGAACTGTAATAATGACAAAACATGGGCTTTTGAGATGGCATGGCTTATGTGTGATTCGGTGGCATAACCATGTGGATGATCTCTGCAGAGATTATAAATGTTTTTATACCTCTCAATAACACTGATGGGCTTATTAATTCTGCAGAAAATGGCTAAAAAGGTTCCAGTGCCAGCTAAACTTGCAGTTTCTGGAATTGATAAAACTGCTGATGTCACTTCTCACCCACCGACCATCTCCCAGAAGGTAGGTTCAGCTGCAGTTATACAGGGCCATAGTAGTTATTTTTTTGTGGACAATTGATATGTTTAATAAATATCAGTTGAATACAGTTTGCTAGTAACTTCATTGCCTAAACATAGTGCAAGTCATGGGCATGACTTTGCCCTTTTGAACAAGGCCTTTGCTGTGTTTCTTAAGGAGTTGGTCGCATTCCTGATTCCACTGAATATCTGTTTAGGCTGTTGAACATTCACGTGCCCTTAAACCTGGCTTGATCCGCTTATTTTTTCATCCGGAACTGTGTTTTTCTCTCACAAATTCCTCCAAACCATCCAAATTCCTCCAGAATTCAGACAAGCGAACATGCCCAATTGCCCATATACCTGATGTCCGATTATAATTCTACAGGACACTATCATGGAAGTTGATCCGCCTGTTAGAGATGCAATGAAGATCAGAGAGAGTGCAGGCGGCAGGTCTAACGGAGGATCTGGAGTAATCATCAATGACAATACCATGCAGGTCTTTATTTCTGTAGCCTTTCTGACCATTATAATACCCATCTGTGGTATCAGTGTTGGTACTAGTTGTCATACCATGGCAAGTAAGAGTTCACCTAGGATGTACTCGGTATATCATTTGGGCAGTTTTTCTTGCAATACTTCCGAGATACAATCTGTATTTATTTATTTTGCTTGAAAAAACTGATTCCTTTGGATAATAGAATAACTTGCAATGTATTTATTAGAGTTCTCACATTCACGCACCAATCTGGAACCGAAACAGGTTTGAAATTGCGTACTTGTTTAAAACGGGTTCTAACTAGCTTTTAATAGATGGCCTCCCATTTTAATGAGAAAAGAGAAGACCGCTGGCTAGTTACCTTTGAGCTATGTGCTATTCACATTGGAGTGGAGCATGATGGTTTGGGTGATTAGAGAACCTACCGCAACCCACTGCAAGCTGGAAATACACAACTGAATTCTCTTAAGGGTTCTGGATCATGTTTATTGTTTAACTGACAATACTCTTAAGAGTTCTGTATTGAATGTCATGTTTGTTGTTTAACATTTTAAGAGATTACTGCAATTGCAATGGCGCAGATGTGTCTTTTTTACACAGTTTGTTGGAGTATTGCTGTTTCTGTGTGTCACATGTTTCAACACTTGATTCAGCAGCCCCAAGGTCAAGATGCTAACCAGAAGCCTGGGCCAGAAGTTTCAGTTCAAGATCTTGCAGCCCGTGCTGCTTCACGGTATATGGCCAGCACTGTAAAAAGCATTAAGACACCAAAAACAGCTTATGACTTTGAAGTTTCTTGGAGAGCTCTTTCTGATGACACTGCCCAGCAAATACAGTTATTAAAGGTTTATTTCTAGCTACCTATTTTTTTTTATTGGCACCATTGTTTTATGTGTAATTTCCTGCTTGTTTGTTTTCAAGCAGTCAATTCCACCAGCAAGCTTACCAGAGATTTTCAAGAACGCACTTTCTGCACCTTTTCTTATTGACATCGTGAAGTGTGCAGCCTCAATTTTCTGGTAGGCTCACTTGTTATATGTCTTTTTGCCCTATGCCAGTCTGGGCCCATGGTTTTTAACTTGTTATACATAACTATTGTTTACATACTCAGGGATGATGCGGCATTAGCTGTCAGTATTTTGGAGAATTTGGCTCAAGTTCCACGCTTTGACTTGATAATCATGTGCCTTTCATCCATGCACAAATCTGGTGAGTTGAACTTGTGCCACTGAATTCCTTTTTATTTCCCCATCATGTTTGGCTATCTTTTAGAGTGGTGCGACTTGTATATACTGATTAAACCATAAAAGGAATTGGTGAATAAGTTGTGCTGTCCTTCTAGGATGATTCAAGTTAAAAGTGCATAGAGGTTATTATTTTTTTATTGTCCAATAGTTCCACAAACAGCCTTTGATGAAAGCTTCTAATTGATGCTCAGAACTGAGGAAGATATGGGATCAAGTATTCCTTGCTGAAAAAGCATCGGCTGATCAGATGGGAGCTCTTAAGCAGCTGCGAGGCAGATACGTTCCTGGAGGATGGCAGGATAGCATGCTCACTTCGAGTTAAATCAATGATGATGATGTAAAGACTGATGATTAGAAAACCTTTTGCTGGCTTCCCAACTGATCTTTTTGCATCCATCTGTTCTGGAGTGCCTGTCAAATGTTAAGCCCACTGGATGTAGCGAACTTAAAGCATTTAGTGTAGGAACATGTGTTGGCTGCAAGCCTGCAAATGGTTGTGAGATTCTTGCTGTGCCTTGCTGAGATGAAAGGGTCGTTGTGCCTGCTGTTACTGTAACCTCGCCTTGTGCTCCTGCTTCCACATTGTTGTATGCTGGTTTGCCGGATTCCTGACGCTGGCACAATTCCTCCTAGCCCAGATGTCTGTAGGTACTAGTCCTTGCTCAGTCTTGTGATGATCCTCACCTGTCCACAGTCCACACACACCACAACCTTCTCCTGAACATCCTGCTTCCGATCATGCAAAGCGCTGGTGTGTACCGAATGATCAAATTGCAAAGCACTGGCTGATGTTGCATCCTAGTTGCTAGGTGTAGAAATAAAGCAAGTAGCTGGAAGTTCAGAGTTGCAGCCATTAACCACCCTGTCCTCACTGAGCTCTGGTCTGTTGGAGCCGAGGTCTGCAAAAGCCTCTCTTCTCTTCCAAAGCAGTGATGCTGCATTGCTGCTGCCTGGACTCGCTGTGCTTGCAGGTTGCATCTTGCAGATATGTGATGATCCGATCACCATAAATCCCATGCTCTATCTCTTCGTCCCAGGCCACAACATGCTCGGCCCAATAGCCTTGTTTACTAGAGAGTGACCCTGTGGCTGGCGCCCACCATCTGTTTTGGGCCTAGCCTGCCATGACCAGGATGTTGTAGTATCGTTGGCAGAAGGAGAGTGTTTCGAAGGAGTTTTTTTTTTGATCGAGAGGAAGAGTTTTTTGTTCTCTTATCTAGAACATTGGAACATGTTTTTACTGAGCCGAATAATTTTGTTTTATGGAGAGGAACATTTTCCATTGCAACCGGACATTTGTTATGAGGTTAGAATATTTATTATAAAGATATAAAGAGGAATTTACGTTAAAAAAAGATATAAAGAGGAATTTCTAGCATCACGAGAAAGTCGTTCTAGCTCCATGAAAAAAAATCCATCTTGAACTAAAAGATGTTCCGGCTTAAATAAACAAAAATTTAGCTTCAATAGAAAACTGTTTCAACTTAAAAGAGAAACTAGTTCAATATATATTCCACTAAGTCACAAAATGTTCCACTAGTTAGTTTGTTATTGATTTTGTTCCAACTCATTATAACAGTTAACACACACCTCGCAAAAAAAAAAAAACAGTTAACATACATGTTTCCATTAGCTTGTAACATTGTTAACTTGTCCTTTCAAAAAACAAACATTGTTCACTTGTACTATTACAACAAAAATTTGTTTTGTTTGATAATTAATCATTGCTTGGGGAAACAAATTACATGTACACTTTGGTTTTTATGAATAGAAAGAAACGTAAAAGTGTCCTCTGAACCCACTGAAAAACATGTTCTAGTCTGCCATCGGATGATGACTGTTGTTCCATCTGTTTATTCTGGTAGCATTCTTTTTCTCACTAAATTCGAAGCCATCGATGCAACAAAATTAGTCTATGTTTTGACATGTTTTTTTTCACAATGAATTTTGATGTACTGTCCTGGAGTAGAAGCGAACCACAAGTATTTATTGGAAACAAAAAGGATCTGAACAAATAGGGAAATAACAATTTATTTATTAAAAGAGAATTAGTAGTAGATTTTATGGCAGGAAAAAAGGAATGAAAAAAAAGAAACTAGCAGTAGAAGAAACAAAGAAAGAAGCCTTAACCAACAATACCAGCTGTCAAATTGACGTGGGCCACCGAATCTGGGAAATATGAATGATCCGGGTTAACTTTGGTTACGTCTCTCTATCTAGACTACCTCTTCTTGTCGATGCCTCACCATTGGCGATCAGGGAGAAGCTTGCATTGGCAAGCGCTGGTATCATGATCTGCTCCATCATCCGATCCGCAGCTTGTTCCTCGATGGGCAGAAATGAGTGACAGTATAAATGTGCTGTTTATACTGATCCTGCGTGATATCTTCTCTGTCACCACAAATGCAGTCCTCCAGTACGACCTTGGGCTACACATACACTGCTTAGAATTCAACAGGAACCAAGAATACAATCACATGTCAGTCTACACTGCTAGGAACTACTGGTGTTTTTTTGCTCACCCCTGCCCTGTTGTCTGCTCTTTGTGACGCCATGCTTGAACTGGGTGACCACAATCTCTGTTTTAATCTATGCATGCCTCGTTCTTGATTGAAAGTTACATGAATAAGTGATAAAGCGTGGCTACTCCCTTTCAGGAACCAGGATGTTATATATATGCATGATTAATTTCTTCTACCTCAACAAACCTTCGAGCAAAATCACCCCTAGCCTTAAAACAACTGTTGTGTTGTCTGTTAGCCCACAGGATTATTGGCTTAGGTGAGTTGACCACTCATCAGTCTTGTCTAGCACTTGCTATTGTTGCCGAGCATCCACTAGCTAAGCCGACCACGAACAAGCGTTGTCCAACCACACACATTATGGCTAGAGATTGAAGAAGATGGAGAACAGAGCATACACACAGTACAAGCACCAGCGTTGGCCGGAGCCCTGTATAGGAGATGGCAAATCTGAACTCCTCTTTGTTGAGTTGCAGTGGCAAACTATATATACAACTCTATCCATCTAGTCCTAGTACAGTTGTCCTGCTGCAACAGTGACTAGATAACACAAAGAAGACTCGACTTCTGCGCTGTCCCCACGCATATGGCTACAAAGATGCGCCAGTGAGCCGTTCGGCCTTTGCCTCTATAATGCGCTTACATTACCACAAAGAGGGAGACCTTTTCGACGCCGCCTTCCCTTGCTGTGTGTTCACACAAGGAAGCAGTAGATTATCTAACAATTCTTCCCTTAATCCTACTGCTATCCCTTGTACTCCCTCCATGCCGATCATGTCCTTCAGCTCCGTGAGTCGAAGGCGTCCGAGCGGCTTGGTGAGAATGTCCACGAGTTGCCGACCAGTTTCGACGAACTCGATAACGATCTGCCCTCCATCGACACAGTCCCTGAGGAAGTGGAACTTCACGTCGATGTGTTTTCTCCGGTCGTGCAGAATCGGATTCTTCGTGAGGGCTATGGCGGGCTAGTTGTCCACCATCAGTGCTGGTGGGTGAGCTTCCACACCGGTCAGCTCACCCAGCAGCCGGCGTAGACACACAACTTGACACGCCGCTGTGGCCGCCGCTACGTACTCTGCCTCGCACGTAGACAACGCCACCACCTTCTGTTTCAGCGACAACCATAAAATTGGAGCCGATCCGAGGAAGACGAGCACTCCAGAGGTGCTCCGCCATCCGTCGATGTCCCCCACCATGTCTGCATCGCTGAACACAATGAGCTGTAGCCTACTCCCATCGGTCTTGGGGAAGATGATCCCCTGATCTACCGTCCCCTTGACATAACGCAGTAGCCGCTTTCACCGTAGCCCAGTGATCCTCTCTGGGATCCTCCATGAAGCGACTGATGTAACCCACGGTGAACACAATGTCCGGCCTTGTGTGGACTAGGTAGCGCAGGCCACCGCCGATGCTCCAGTAGAGTGTTGCATCCACCTTCGCCGCGGTACTAGCCTTCGTCAGCTTCAGCCGCTCCTCCATCGGAGTCACGCATGGCTTGCACTGAGCCATGCCGCTCCGCTCCAACAGTTTTGAGGCATACGCGCTCTGACCGAGCGTGAGTTCCCCCTTCCCCTGTCTCACCTCGATGCCGAGGTAGTAGGAGAGTGCGCCGAGATCGCTCATTCGAAAACGATCCGCCATCTCGCGCTTGAAGCTGTTGATGTCCTCCGTGCGCGTGCCAGTGACGATCAAATCGTCCACATACACACCAACGATGAGCTCCTCCTTCCCCTGTCGTCGCGTGTAGAGTGCGTGTTCGGTTGCGCACCTGAAAGTGCATCTAGCCCTTTAGTGGGTTTTGGATGATTGAATGACAACGTGATTAAAGGTCTAACCCGTTTGCTAAGTGTGGACAGGTTATAGGTTATCTCACAGGTACTTAATGAAAGCCAAAATGATGTGTTGTTGTATAAACAATCTAGTTCAAGCACAAGACAATAATGCAAATGGAATTCATGCAAAGGCTTGTTTATTATGGGATTTCCATGTACTATGTAAAAGCAAGCTTGTGAGAATTAATTAATGAGACATAAGGGATTACATATGGAATGGTCTCATATTTGAAGCTTGCTAAATTGAAATGAAAAAGACAACAATACAAATGAATGGATGATTCAACACAAGATGTGACTTGATGGCTTGAGATGGTGAAGATAGCAAGGAAAGGCTTCGAGGTACTAAGCAAGGGTGAAGGGCAAGCGACGGCTTGGCGGTCGAAGAACCTAGCTAGGGTGAAGAAGAAAGTACTTGCATTTAGTTGAGGTACTAATCAAGCTACGATGGTCATATTGATGTGAAGGATCAAATCACTATTGGAGTGTTTGATAGAAGTGACTTGATACATTTGGGATTATTCAAATTTGATGAATGGAATTAAGTCACGTGCTCAAGATGGCTATGCTCAAGTGAAAAAGATCAATATCAACATGTTAGCGCCCTCACTTGATGAAGATTGGAATACAAGGCTTCGGTTCAAAAAGAGCAACTCAAAATGTTTTAATTCTTTATACTTTTAAATTTGAGTAAATAGGAATGCCGTACTATTAAGAGGGATGCATCATGTTGATAGATAATGTTTCATAAGTGCTCAAGCCAACCCATGTGAGATTTGAGTGTTTGAGAGACAAAAGAGCTAACTAACTTGTTGCTGGTCTGGCCATACCGGACGTGTTCGGTATTTGCCCAGTATCTGTAAAAATGTTGTTCTCGGGTTGGTTCGTTGGGAGTTCCGACGTAGGTCAGGAGTTCCGACGGTCGGGAGTTCCGGCAAGGGTCGGGAGTTCCAACGTCTAACACTTTA